ATGGAGTAGCCTTCATAGTCAATAAAAGAGTAGGAAAAGCAGTACTGGGATACAATCTCCAAAATGACAGAATGATCTCAGTTCAAATCCAAAGCAAACCATTCAACATCACAGTAGTCCAAGTCTATGCCCCAACCACTGGTGCTGAAGAGGCTGAAGTTGACCGGTTCTATGAAGGCCTAATACACCTTCTAGAATTAACACCAAAAAATGATGTCCTTATTATCATGGGGGATTGGAATGCTAAAGTAGGAAGCCAAAAGATAACCGGAATAACAGGCAAGTCTGGGCTTGGAGTACAAAATGAAGCAGGGCACAGGCTGGTAGAATTTTGTCAAGAGAATACGATGGTCATAGCAAACACTCTTTTCCAACAACCCAGGAGACGACTCTACACATGGACATCACCAGACGGTCAACACAGAAATCAGATTAACTATGTGCTCTGCAGCCAAAGATGGAGCTCTATACAGTCAGTAAAAACTAGACTAGGAGCTGACTGTGGCTCCGATCATGAACTTCTCGTTGCAAAATTTAGGCTTAAATTGAAGAAAGTAGGGAAAAGCACTAGGCCACTCAGGTATGACCTAAATCATATTTCTGATGAATAAACAGTAGAGGTGACAAATAGATTTAAGGAATTCGATCTGATAGAGTGCCTGAAGAACTATGGATGGAGGTTCGCAACATTGTACAAGAGGTAGCAACTAAAACCATCCCAAAGAAAAAGAAATGCAAGAAAGCAAAATGGCTGTCTGAGGAAGCTTTACAAATAGCTGAGGAAGAAGGGAAGCGAAAGGCAAGGGAGAAAAAGAAAGATACAAACAATTGAATGCAGAATTCCAGAGAATAGCTAGAAGAGATAAGAATGCCTTCTTAAATGAACAGTGCAAAGAAATAGAAGAAAACAATAGGATAGGGAGGACCAGAGATCTCTTCAAGAAAATTGGAGATATGAAGAGAATGTTTCATGCAAAGATGGGCATGATAAAGGACCAAAATGGCAGGGACCTAACAGAGGCAGAAGAGATTAAGAAGAGGTGGCAAGATTACACAGAAGAACTATACAAGAAAGAGCTTAACGTCCCTGACAACCACAATGGGGTGGTCACTGACCTCAAGCCAGACATCCTGGAATGTGAAGTCAAATGGGCCTTAGGAAGTCTGAGCAACAACAAAGCTAGTGGAGGTGACAGTATTCCAGCTGAGCTATTCAAAATCTTAAAAGACGACGCAGTAAAAGCGCTACACTCAATATGCCAGCAAATTTGGAAAACTCAACAGTGGCCACAGGATTGGAAAAGGTCAGTTTACATTCCAATCCCAAAGAAGGGCAATGCCAAAGAATGTTCAAACTACTACACCATTGCACTCATTTCACATAGTAGCAAAGTTATGCTCAAAATCCTACAAGCTAGGCTCCAGCAGTATGAGGACCGAGAACTACCAGAAGTACAGGTAGGATATCGAAGAGGGAGAGGAACTAGAAATCAAATTGCCAACATACGCTGGATCATGCAGAAAGCTAAGGAGTTCCAGAAAAACATCTACTTCTGCTTCATTGACTATGCTAAAGCCTTTGATTGTCTGGATCACAACAAATTGTGGCAAGTACTTAAAGAGATGGGAGTACCAGACCATCTTATTTGTCTCTTGAGAAACCTATATGCGGGTCAAGAAGCAACAGTGAGAACTGGACACGGAACCACTGATTGGTTCAAAATTGAGAAAGGAGTTCGGCAAGGCTGTATACTGTCGCCCTGCCTATTTAACTTATATGCAGAGCACATCATGAGAAAGGCGGGGCTAGATGAATCACCAGCTGGAATTAAGATTGCTGGGAGAAATATCAACAACATCAGATATGCAGATAATACCACTCTAATGGCAGAAAGTGAAGAGGAACTAAAGAGCCTCTTGATGCGGGTGAAGGAGGAGAGTACAAAAGTTGGCTTGAAACTCAACATTAAGAAAACTAAGATAATGGCATCCGGTCCTCTCACTTCCTGGCAAATAGATGGGGAAGAAATGGAGGTAGGAACAGATTTTATTTTCCCGGGCTCCAAGATCACCACAGATGGGGACTGCAGCCAAGAAATTAAAAGACGCTTGCTCCTGGGGAGGAAAGCCATGGCAAATCTAGACAGCATATTAAAAAGCAGAGACATCACCCTGCCAACGAAAGTGCATATAGTCAAGGCTATGGTTTTCCCAGTTGCAATATATGATGACTGTGAAAGCTGGACCATAAGGAAGGCTGAGCGCCAAAGGATGGAGGCCTTTGAATTGTGGTGCTGGAGGAGACTCCTGCGAGTCCCTTGGACCACAAGGAGATCAAACCGGTCAGTCCTAGAGGAGATCAACCCTGACTGCTCTTTAGAAGGCCAGATCCTGAAGATGAAACCCAAATACTTTGGCCACCTAATGAGAAGGAAGGACTCCCTGGAGAAGAGCCTAATGCTGGGAACAATAGATGGCAAAAGAAGAAGGGGACGACAGAGGATGAGGTGGCTAGATGGAGTCACTGAAGCAGTTGGTGTGAGCTTAAGTGGACTCTGGGGGATGGTGGGGGACAGGAAGGCCTGGAGGAATGTTGTCCATGGGGTCGCGATGGATTAAGCTATGATTCAACGCAGAGCATATCCAGATTAGAATTAAATCTATTTTTACCCTTTTTTCTCTCTTCCCTCCTCCATTTCCTCTCCTCCCTCCCTTATTTCAGAAATCAATGATATCCAAAGATTCCACATTTCCCCTCAATTCCAAATAAATCACCTATCCATCATCCATTTTTTCATGTAATTTAAAAGTACATAGTAAATTTGTTTGTTGCTAAAACTATGCATGCACAACAGCTGGAAAGCAAAACCAAAATCCAATTAATGTGGCTTCCTTTTGTCAGTTTGGTACCCTACACCAAATATTTAACATGGCCACATAAAAACTTGGCCTTCTATAATTTTCTGTAATTCCCTTGCTAGATGGTTAACACAAGGACTACACAATGTGAAGCTCACAGGCACTGAGGTGTTCCCAGACATCTTTGACACTTTTAAAATGTTTATATCATTGTTACATTTATATACCACCCTTCTCCCTTCAAGGAACTCAAGGCAGCTTACATGATTGTTCCCCTCTCCATTTTATCCTTACAACAAAGTAGCTTGGGTTGAGATTAGCTCAGGCTGGGAGTCCCTGACTGGCCCAGAGTCACTCAGGGAACTTCCTTGCTGAGTCGGGACCAGAATCCACATCTCCCAAGTCTCAGACCAACCCACTAACCACTATTCCATACTGGTTTGCACTTGCTTGAACTTGTACACTTCCCGCTTAAAAAAAACCAAACCAAACCCCAGTACATTTTCTTACAAGCATCTGGGATTATCCCAAAACAGGTTTCTGTTGCTGATGAAAACTGTGGGTACAAAGGAATTGTTTAATCTATTGGAGTTCTGTCTTGTACTCAAGACAAGTAAACTCTTTAGGGCAGTTTACTTATTCTTTGCCGTGACTTCCATAGTGGTAGTGTCCAGGACAATCTGGCGCATTGCCAAATGTGTCCATGGCCCACAAAGTGTGTATACCCTTGCTTTAATAGAATCTACAGCCCTTTTCTTCTGCACATTTAAAAAAATGGCTCCAAGGTCCACTAATACACAAACCTGATTTCCTTATTACCCATTACCTGTCAGCTGTTGCTTGACCTTTCCTTGCTAATTTATGGTTCTGTTAGGCCCCCATGAGTTCCTTTGCCCTTTGTTGCAAAGGAACAATTCCAAAGAAACTCTGTGGGGAAAACGTCTCTTTTACCTGATAAGTGTTAGTATTTGTTGTATGTGCATTTCATACTCTTTTCAAGGAGTTCAGAGTAGTTATATACAAGGTATTTCCTGTTACAGCAAAAGTTCCCTAATATGAAGTGAAAGCAGCAAAGACCTTTGTGGTGCCTTAAGGATTAACAGTTTGATTGCAGCATGAACTTTTGCAGCCTAAAACCCACTGTATTAGATGCATGGACTGTTACCAATCGATGTGTGTGTGTGTGTGTGTGTGTGTGTGTGCGCGCGTGCGCGCGTGTGCATGAGAGAGAGAGAGAGAGAGAGAATATATGAGTATGTGAAAGAGGAAAAGAGAGACAGACAGACAGAAACAGATGTTCTACTGCCCCACATTACTCTCCGCTACTATCTTCTCCTCCCATGAAGCCTTGCTCTGACAGGTCCTTCCTCAGAGTGAGGCCCTGTGGGTAAAGGGTCACCAAGAGTTCCTGTGCCACCACAAGGGGGCAGGGTTCTTGCAGCAAGGCACCAGGTGCATTGAAGAACTGGATTGTCCACTGCATTTGCCACAGTGGGAAAGCAGTTGGCAGGGCTCCCTGGAGCACCTGCCTGCGCTGATGCACCGTCTGAGTCATCTGTCATTTTCAGGGCGGAGCACAGGCCGGAATGACAACAGGTGGTAGTGGCTGGTGGTGGCTCTCTTGAAAATGTCAGGGAAGCCCTCTCCTCTCCCACTCAGCCCTTAGTCTGAGATAAGGGATTCACCGTGCCTCATGGGAGGATGGCCATGGTGTGGTTAGGTGGGTTTCTCTAAATCCAAAATGTTTTAATATTAGACTTCTGCCTCCCTTGACATATGGATTCACTCCCACCCTGAATTTCATCGAATGCAATGAGAAAACACCACCTAGGGAGTTGTGTAGCAGTGCCACGAAAAGCCAGGGCCTATACAGAATGATTGTCACTGAAAGGCACTTTTCACTGACCTCCATGCAACACGGCCTTTGTGAGAGGTGGGCTGATGGTGGTTAATATCAATTATTCATATTGTCCACAGGGTAAATACACAATGCATGCTTCTTCCGTATACATGCTTCAGAGTGTGACTTACAGTTCTGATGGCTTTTGGTCATATTCTCAGAGTCCAATGCATGGTAGAATTCATAGGCAGAACGGCCCAGCAGTTCCTCAGGATGGAATCCAACTAACTCAGTTATCCTTGATTATAAAAAATAGCATTTTCATTAGGTACTGGATTTTGCATTTTTAAAATTATTTTAATCGCACTTACATTGAATAGCACCCTGCCCCCAAGTTAAGGAAAAATGACCATACAAGAAAAATGTTATTTATTACATTAAGGCTGCAGCTCTAAGCAAGCTTGTTTGAATCTCACTTCCAAATAAGCAAGTTTATTTAGCCAGGATTTATTTCCCATCCTGGAGTGAAGGTGCTGTCCATGGGGTTCTCATGCGGTTCCCATTCAGGCCGTGACCAGCTGCAGACTTGATGTGCTTCAACAAGTTGGCTGATCCGATCATATCAAACCACACCCTGATAAGAGTAGCGATTTGCAGAATACTACTTCTGAGAGGGGCGGCTCCTCTTGGCGTGCACTCCCATGTCATGACCACATGGACTCTGAGTCAGAGAAGGAAGAGGAGGCAGCAAAGGGAGCCTGGAACGAGGGGCTCTGAGATAAGAGAAGCGGAGGCACTTATTTCAAGGCCATTCTCCCCAAGTGCTCAGGCAGGCACTGAGGATAACTAAGAGGTATGGCTGCCAGCTGGGGGCTTGGGAGAGGAGCTCTCAGAGCCGGACAAAGCGAGCATGACTCTTGACCCCATGACACAGCATCAGGGAAGGACAGCTAGCCAACTAGAGGGTTGAAGTACACAGAAAAGGCGTGCTCACTTTGAAAGAGGTTGGGCCCAGACGTACTTAAAAAGAGGGTTTCCAAAAGTAGTTTGGGGTCAACAAAGTGCTCTGTGCATGCTCAGGGAAACATTCTGTGGTGAACGAGTTTATTGGGCATACTTTCATGAATAAAAAGCTTTTGCAAAGGAATGGTCTGTTACCTTGAATGCACAAAGGGACAAAAACTGCAGCTCATGACACCCCAAATTTGGCTGCAAAGAATAGCAAGATTTGGCTCTACACTCTGAATTCTCACTGAGGACAATGGAAGCAGAGCATGGAGATCTCATCAGGGTCAGGCCTTGTACAGCTACCTAAAAATTTTGTGCTACGGATAGGATGCAAACTGCCCACTTACACATCAAGTCTGATGCATCAATGAGACACAGTGAAGCTCTTGTACTGTATCCTTACTCATTTCTAAAATGTCAAGGCAAGTCACTAATCAAGCTACAATATAAATCACAATGTGTAATTTTATTACAGGGAAAGGGATGTGACTCAGGGTAGAGCACTTGCATTGCTTGCAGATGGTCCCAAGCTCAATCCTGATATCCCCAGGTAAGGCTGGGATGCTTCTGTCTGAAAAACCAGAGAGGTGCTATAAAATATACTGACACGTGGTTCAGTGACTGGCTTGATATAATGGATTGACTTGACACAGGACCACTTTGTTCCAATCAAACAGAGAGCATCTAGTTTGCAACAGAACTGCTTCAGAAGTGGTCAGTTGGCAATTGCTTCTGTCAGAATGAAGCCAAAAACAGACCGTATTTCCTGGACGACGAATCACAGAATAGTGGAAGAGGCCAGATAACCATTGGGTCCAATCCACAGCTCAGGGCAGGGCACCAAGTTAAACCATCTCCCTCAGATGGCCATCCAGTTGCATCTTGAATGCCTCTAGTGTGGGAGAGCCCACAAGCTCCCTAGGCAATGAGTTCCATTGTCCTACTGCTCTAACAATCAGGAAATTCCTGACATCTACCTAGAATCTGGCTTCCTGTAAGTGGTCTGTGAACAGTTCTCTCTGTGCAAATGCGGACATGTTACATACAAACATTACACTGTGGGCAGCTCTGGAAATGACTTGAGAAAATCTAGAAACCTTAAAAAAATATCTAGTTATGCACCCACAATTCCCTTTCTCTTCCAGATCTCCCTGCGTTTCTGGCTGCTTTGATGTTTGCCTTGGTCAGCTGCCCCCATTCTGGTGCCCTTCAGGGGCTATGGACTTCAAATCCAATCCAGTCAGGATTTCTGGCAGTTGTAGCCTGAAACATGTGGATGGTGCCAGGTTGGGGAAGACTGGTCTAGATGCATCTAAATGTGGCCAGAGTTTGAAAGGGTCCTGCAACACACCTCTCTGTGGGCACTCACATTCCATTAACTACTGCACAATATATACATAAAATATAAATCTATAGGACACACATGCATATGCATTGTTGGATAACTGGAGCATCAAGTACTGACATTCCTGTTTGAAGGGACTATCAATGACATTATAAGACAGACCTTTCATGTCACTTTCATTCCAAGCCTATGGTGTCATGGTGTCAATCCACATGATCAGCTATCAAGCACTGACTAATCCAAGCACAAGCATTTGTAAAGTGCATAAAACTGGACTGCAGTTGCTTCTGATTCTGTAAAGATACTTACTAGTGAATTAGGTCTTAAGAGCTAAGCAACAGAGAGGGCTTATGATCAAGGGTAAGCATGCAAGATAAATCGAGCAGAAACAGACACTAATCCTGCTTTCACTTTTGTTGTTGCTGTTAGTCGCAAAGTCGTGTCCGACCCATCGCGACCCCATGGACAACATTCCTCCAGGCCTTCCTGTCCTCTACCATCCCCCGGAGTCCACTTAAGCTCACACCAACTGCTTCAGTGACTCCATCTAGCCACCTCATCCTCTGTCGTACCCTTCTTCTTTTGCCATCTATTGTTCCCAGCATTAGACCATTTCAAAGATATGCTCCCAATATTTTAGCCATGGTTAAGGGATAAAGGTGGACTCTGGGCTCACCTAGTCCTTTCTTTCCCTCCCTTGTTATATGCAAATACCCTCTTACTGTATTCTGAACTAATCATGGTGTAGTGTTATATCTGCATCAATTTTAACCATGGTTAGATTTAACCGGAGTTTGCAAACCTTTGCAAAGCAACTTGCATTAATAAATTAATATTAGTGCATATGTAAGACAGCATAGAAAACACATCTTCTGTGCTGAGTTCTGAAAAGAAAGGAGAGACGGAATTTGCAAATAAGGTGTTGGGGAGGAAGCACACCGGTGCAGACTGGCTCTAACCTCTTAATCATGGTCCAAAGATCAGGAAATGCTATATCCTCATTGGACCAGCTATTAACCTACAGCTCTAACTGATTTGGAACAAAGAAGAAAAATCTAATGAACTTTTGACTTTTGCCTCTTTGGGATTTCCACACTTTCTAGAGTTTGACTTTCTCAACTAGCATTTATAGTCAGGAATTAGCTCATTGCTTCTGGTATTTCCTTTACTAAAACATTAAACAAACAAATGCTAGGCATGATATAAAAATTGTGTCCCCCCCCCCAACTTCCCACAAGAGTTAGCTGCTATACTTATGCAATAACATTTCCTAACATAAATTCTATGAACTTTTTCACACACTGACTCTGTTTCTTGCGTCACCAATGTACAAGCAAGTACTGGGTTACAAGTAAATGGCACTGTGAAGACTTAGCCTCCAAAAATTTTGTTTACAGAGGTAACTGGGAAAGAAAGAAAAAAGCCCTATTATGGCCAGCATGTATACTTCCCGAAGTTATTACTGCACATTGTCATTAAAAACCTCTTCTCAGAATTTGAGGATAACCTTGTTATACTTTGTATAGTTGTGATCATATCTAAGTCAAGAGTTCCTATCACATCAGCTGTATAATGTAATTGGGTGGTATTTTTAATTAAACCCCAGCAAAACTAAAAGGCTGCATACAATGTGTGTGCCATTTCCCCCAAGGCCCCTATCTTGAACTTCATTCCTCGTGATTGACATTAACCTTACAAAGCCAGGAAATCGAGCCTTACATTGAGCAGGCAGCCCCCTCTGCCTGCAAGCACGTAACTTCCATCATCTCCAAAAACACTGTCGCAACAACATTCTCGTAAGGATTTTGACTCCTGTGCGGCTGTGAAAAGGACTGGCTCTTCTTTCTCCCCACCTTCACCATTTTCTGAGGTGCTGAATTTTTTAGTCATATATGGACTATATTACAGGTGTATCAACAAAAGTAAGATGTTACTCTACATTCTATTTACTAGGAGCATAGCCATGTGCCTTTTTATGTGCTACATTTTCTATACCTACAGTGCTAATAAGGTGTAATAATGAATGACCGAGGTCTTAGAAAGTAGGTTTGTCACTTGGCTTAAAATGGGACCAGGGGGGCATCTAAAGTAGAGGGATGGCAGGTGCTGACGGAGGAAGAACACAAGTGGGTATGGCGGGGAATCCTCCGCTACTTGCATCCACTGGAATGTACAGGTGCCTGTGATACACTGTAAGATACAGATTGGGACATTTCCTTGTTTAGCCACAGAGCTGGTTTAAGGCAGCAAGCTGAACACTGGGCCCGTGGCCCAATCCATCTCTTCAAAGTTCCCCTGGGTAGGACAGTACTGAAACAGGAAAATTCAGATTATATGAACTTGATGGATTTTCTGCCCTCTTTTGGTAAGAAGTGGGCAGAATCAGCATTTTTGCAGGCTTATGTCTCTAAGAGTGATCATAATTTGTTCGTATTTTCTTAACCACAAACGAAATTTGTGCAAATCAGCACTGAAAAACTATGCAGCTCTAGTGAGATTTATACATCGTCAGCCAATTTGTACTAATCATTAGTGCTGTGCCAAAGTTCAATGGAATCTGTCCCTCTGTTACTCACAGACTTCCTCATGTGTTCAGCTCTGCCTTAGAAAGCAAGCTGATCTGAGAGGAAGTCTCCAAATACTTGCAAAACGAAGGCTGCACAACTGCCAACCTTCTACATCTTATGCAGCACAAAGGTTGCTGCGTGTGATGTGGAAAAGGGATGCTACTTGCGCAGCAGTTGCAGGGTGGAACTGAATTCAAGGTGAGTGCTGCTTGAACACTGGGCATGCTCTCTAAGAACTTGGTCTCAGCATCACGACAAAGCAGTCCCGGGTCTGGGAAGCTGTGCCCAGGGAATCTGACAAATTCCATCCCTGCAACAGATTCCTCATACAGCCCTTCAAATTGTAACATGTGCAAATTTCATTAGTGGCTAAAAATG